GACCCTCAACTGATATGGGACAGAAACCTTGGACTCGCCGAGTCCAAGAATGGACTCGTCGAGTTGGTCACATCCTCTTACTAAATCTTCGATTTCTAATGTACAACCCTTGATCAAAAGATAGATCTATGCTTCTACAATCGATCTAGCACGTAAAGTTACAACCTTTACGTGCTTGCATGGGACTTTGAGCTCAAAAGGTACTTAAACAATCTCTTACAATGCATGGGGCCTTCTTTGAGTGCAAGAGCCACTCCTTTCTGCCTTGTAACCCCACTAAGGGCCTCGATTTGAAGCATTGTAACGCCAGTAGATCCGGGCTAGTCAGTTTAGAGGCAATAAGTTTCGAAAATGACTTTTCGGCAAAATATTATTTAGAAATAATCTTAACCAAGTTGTAGTATACGTTACAAGGTTTCCATACATATAAAGACCGCCGAAATCCGAGTTATAACGAAGAAGTTATGACCCGTCGGAGTTTCGTGATGGAACCGACACAATACCGGGAAATATAAATAGTGAATTTACGATAGAGCGAGATTTAGCCTTAGCGATCTAAACGAGATTTAGCCTTAGCGATATACCCCTACAGAGCTCGACTCCTAGCTAAAATCCCATTATAAGTAAGTTATGCTTACCCTATTTTAAATATTGTTTATATTTAAAATTAGTATTGTTATTATAAATTTATAATAAATATTTGAACTATTATTATGACTTATATAAGTGTCGTTATAATATCTTTTTAACTACTCGCGATACGGGGAATCTGGTTTAAAGGGCCGCATAGGATTGTTGGATTTCAGAAGTGCTATATGACAAAATGGTCCTGCCCTCAGGTGTTTTATGTCTGGTTCCTGTCTGTACATAGTGGTTGGAAAGTATTGTTTAAACGCTTATATAATAATAATAATAATAATAATAATAATAATAATAATAATAATAATAATAATAATAATAATAAGACTAATAGTTAGTCACGGTAAATATCAGACTAGAATCTAGTAGTAATAATACTATGTTTTGTCGAAGGAAATTATTTTAAAGTAAACGAAGCGTTGTCCGAGTACCGAGTCACTACCTTCTCAGGTGAATGCATGGTCCCTTTCATCTTACACATAGATATGAAGTATTTAATATAAATTACATGTTGTGAGTGCATAGTTACTTTCATCTTACACATATATATGAAGTATTTTATATAAACTATGTGCTATGTGTGCATATTATCTGAATACTTGTTATCTATGCTAGATGAACGTTTTTTATACATGTTTTAGATGATTTGAACTGTATACATATTTTAAATATACAAGTATGTTGGGTATGAGATGGGTAAATGAATGATGAGAGATAAAAGATGATGTGAGTAAACATTGGCAGCTATAGACTTAGTGCCTAACAAATAACATCAGCATCTATGGACTTAATGCCTATTGGACAAATACTGGTAGCTATGGACTTAGTACCTGTTAGGAATTGGTAGCTATGGACTTAGTACCTATTAGATAAACACTTGTAGCTATGGATTTAGTACCTAGCAGCTATGAAATTAGTGCTTTACAAACGAGCATTGACAACTATAGATTTAGTACCAGTCCTATAACTTTGGAAGCAAAGGACTTCAGAATGAACGAATGCGGGATAGATGACTTTGAGGATAGATCCTTAAGAGTAAAGAAGATAATAGGGATGGGTAATTGGGTCGATTGTTTGATTGTTTAAACATAATAATTATATTATTGTGGGTTGAAAACCCTATGTACTCACCAGGTTTCCCAACCTGACCCACCTAGTTTATTTATATTACAGGTGTTGAGATGAAGTCACATTACACTAAGAGATTAAAGAGATGTAGATCACTAGTGTAAATAAATGTAAGTTCTGTTTATGCTTATGTTTCTGTATTGACGATGACATCCCAAATGTTTTAAAACGAATTAAAAATATTTTTCTTCGGAAATACTTTGATAACGTATTTATCATGTTTTACTGGGAACAAATTCCACAACATTTTTATTAAAAGAGGTACTCTGATTTTTATAAAGCATAAACAAAATCGGTCTTTTCTGGCCGTGAAAATGGGGATGTCACAAACATCAACCCCTAACCATGCTTGCAATCATGATTGGTGACCAAAATGGCTTAGAAAAGCCCTAAAACTCCACAAAATGGGATCTATCAAAAGAACAAACAAGGTATAGACTTTGTACCTTCTGTAGACTGCAAATGATGCTCAAAATTGGATCCTGCTAGCCTCATCTTGATCCTTCAAGCTTTTCCATCCTTCCTTAGGTCACAAAGCACCAAAATCACTCCAAATGCCTTAGATTGCTTCAATAACGGCTAGGGTTTGCTATGGGGGTCTTTTGGGAGCAAGGGAGACAAAGGAGGCCGAGTTAAGGTGTTTAAATAGGGTGCAAACCCTCATGTTATGATTTTTGTCCAGACAGGGCCTACTCGCCGAGTCTGGGACCCGACTCGTCGATTCTACTGCTTAAACCCCGTGTCTCATCCCGCTTCTACTCTCTGAGTTGGTCTTTCAACTCGCTGAGTCTAAGGGCAAAATGCAAAAATATTAATAAAAAAATACGTACCAAGAACCAGGTGCTACATGAAGATTAAACATAATAATTATATTATTGTGGGTTGAAAACCCTATGTACTCACCAGGTTTTCTAACCTGACCCACTCAGTTTATTTATATCACATGTGTTGATATGAAGTCACATTACACTGAGAGATTAAGGAGATATAAATCACCAGTGATAATGAATGTAAGTTTTGTTTATGCTTATGTTTCTGTATTGACGATGACATCCCAAATGTTTTAAAATGAATAAAAATACTTTTATTCGGAAATGTCTTAATAACGTATTTATCATGTTTTACTGGTAAACAAATTCCGCAATATTTTTATTAGAAGAGGTACTCTGATTTTTATACAACATAAACAAAATCGGTATTTTCTGACCGTGAAAATAAGGATGTCATATAAAATCTTTAAGAGTGAATCGGTTTCATTTAAAGTGTGTCCTTGCAGGTAACGAGCGTCCAGATGTGAGAGGTCATAAGAACAATATTCCAAGTGGACATACTCTTTATACCAATGCCACCTTAAGTTTGTGGGAGAGAAACAACTTTCCAAGAGACTTTGGTTTTTCCTCTTTTAAGCTCACCTTGGCACCAAAGAAACGCTCCCACGAGCTCTTCTATATGATTCGTGATGGTATTGTCAAATATGTTTTAATTTTCTAGGTATTGTATATGCTTAGAAATAACAAATTAAATGTGAGACTTTATAAAATATGTTACAGAGATGATGGTAAATTATTTTACTTCATAACAACTTATAAAAATAGTCGATGAATGAAAATGATTTAAATTAATAATATTTTATTGATAAAGTTAATATATTTTTTATAGGAAAATAAAAATTATACAAGATGTCAATTATTTGAGATACTCCACTCCACTTAGAAATACAAAGAGTCATTGATGATATCATTAAATTGAAATACAAAGTTGGTTCTTGACTAGGTTATAAGAATTTATCATAATTGTTTTGAACTATACATGTTAAAATATTTCTTATGATAATAATCACTTTGAAAGTCAATATAATTAAAGATTAGGATTCATGGATATATATAAAAAAACAAACTATTATCATATTTAGATATAAAGTTTATTAATTATAATGATTATTATCATAATTAAATATGAAATGTATTCTATAGTAAATGCATTTCATATTTAATTAATGATAATATTTTTTATAATTAGTTATTTCTTTATGTATCATTACGATATATATTAAAATGGAAAGTGATTTGTACACAACAGTTTTTTATCATACACAACAATTTATACATTATATAGTTATACATTACAACATTTTAAAACACCAATTGTTATGTATGGAGAAAAATTATTGTGTGCAAATCAACTCCCTATTAAAATATATCGGAAAGATTTTAAGTAGTAAAAATCTATTTGAGTAATGAATGAGATCTTAAGCTTAGATCAAAGTAAGAAGTATCTTTGTATATTTGGAGTGTAACTACTATTATAAATACTATTTATATCGGTATTTCGGGTTCTCTGATATCTTAAACACAAATCTATACAAATATCGTGATACAAAAATCCAAATATTATTTAGGAAAAATAAGCAACAAGATCCAACGTCAATTATAATGTTAGGGCTCTATATTAAAAATCCAAAATAAAAATAAAAATAATATCATGTTATATAATCCTAGGCATAAGATACTACTTTCAGTCAATTCTATAAAAGAAATATGTAATCTAATTTTATAATAATCAAACATGTAATAAACCAAAGCACAACAAACATGAAGATCATGTAAATTTTCACGCGATTTCAGGTGTCAGCTTAGCTCACCGACTCTTTAACATTGTTAAACATTTCGAATCGGAAAACAGAAAACCTTATTGTTTCAATGGCCGGCCAATCGTTCGACGAAATGCTTCATTGATATCTTCATCAATTCCCCAACATCCCTCTTCTTCGGAGCTAACCCTGGTAAAATTCCCTTCATGCCACACACAATTACACTAACGCCTTGTTCCCGAGTTTTTATGTAACTTCGTTAAAGGAAAGGGAGGGAAAATTTTGACAGAAAGAAAGGGAAGGGAAGGAAAATATTCACTATTTTGTGTTCCCGAGTTCGAAGGAAATGAAAGGAAAGGAAAATAAAATTTTTAGTTTTTGTATTCCCGAGTTAGAAGGAAAAAGAAAATACAACTTAAAATTATCCTTCCCCTCACTTTCTTCCCAAATCCGCCCAATTTGGGAGGAAAATTTGGAAGGAAAATATGACTCTAAAATCCTTCCCCTCCCCTTACTTTCCTTCCATTAATGAAACTTGGAAACATAATTTTTTTTCGACACTCCTCACTTTCCCTCCGTACCCTCCCATTTCTCTTCTTAAGTTGAACTCGGGAACAAGATGTAAAGCCCCGTTTCTTTACCTCTTAATTGAAAAATTAAGAGGTAAGCTTTTAAAAATTAGATTTGAAATGTTTGACACCCTCTTATTTTTACCTCTGAAATTAATAATTGGCTCTTAAACTTTCAGATTTGGTGGCGCATCTGAAAAATAAAAAAGACCCATATGCCCTAGATGTGTCGCTCTTTCTTTCTTTTCAAAATCACGCCTCCCCTGATCCTTTCTTTCTCATCGACGCATAACAACACCTCCACTCCATCTGCGTGTTCCCTCCCCGACATCACAGTCGCTGCCGTCTTCTCCGCCAAGAGCTTCGTCGTTGACAGCTCCGATAGCTGTGTCACAGCATCTCCGGCTCCACCTCCAACGATTCTGCAATGATTTATGCAGTTAAGATCACCCTTCCACTTTTGTAGTAACGAATTACTTGTTTTTCTCGATAAACTTATTGCCCTCTTACTGTTGGTTCATTTGTGAAATTGTAATTCGAAGGATAGGAATGGAGTGATTAATTGTATGTATCAAGGTTTCAACGGTGCAGCGTCTGTGGTTCTTTTTCTCCCCTTTCTTTTTCAAAATTAGGGTTCAATAGTTGGGAACAACGAGTGTTTTTGTTCGACTGTTGATCTGCGTCGAGAACAATTTACTCTCTACATCCTTTTTCAATTTGAAGATACACACATTGACTTCTGAAATCAAAACCTAGAAGTTTTTCAATCAAAAATCGCTAAGGGTTTTGTGACTTCTGCTACAAATTTGCCAACACTTTTCTTTTTAGTACCTGTAACGAAACTAATGCAACTAGATTTTCTTCAAGTTTTGAGAATTTATCACTTGAAGTTAAAAGGAACCCACTTTACTACTTGAGTATGAGCTCAATGTTGTATTCTTGTTCACAATAATACTAATGATTTATGAAGGCAACATTTATCAAGAAAAGATCTTATGTGATTGTGGTATGAACATCTGTGTATCAACTTATCTCTCATTGAAGGGTATCAAACTATTTTCTTGTAAGCTAATCTTTATTTTTAGATTATAGGTTGCATAAATACTAAATTTCGTCTGATTTTGTGCTTTCTAGAGGTATTAATCACCTAAAAAAACAAATGTACCACTAATTTGGCAAACAACAATGATAGTTAAGTAATTTGACCACATTAGATGATGCATCAATTGCTGATTGAAGATTGTATCATGATAATTTATTTGCTAAAATCTTTTAGGATATTGTAATCTTAATTTCATGCTCCAAGATTCATATGTACTCTATCTTCTTGTGTTAATTTTCATTAAATATAATAGTAACCAAAATTTATTACCATTTCATGACATGGGTACCTCACAAAAGGATGCAACTCATCTGTATTCAATGCAAACCGAATAAACAATTCTTAATATCATTTCAAACAATGGTTATGAAGAAGTTTGAAGAAACAATAGCAGCAAAAGATTCAACCGAAAATGGGAATTCATCATCTTTTATGGAAGAAATTTCAAACAAAAAGCAACGAATTGAAGGACCTTTTGTGATGCCACTTATATCAATTCCTAAACTTGAAGAACAAAGTTCAAATGCATCAATTGTTTTATCTGGAACTGCTAAAAAAGGCGAAATCGGACCACCTTTAGGAATAGTGGATATCGGTGTAAGCAAAAGCGCGTATTTTTTTCAAGTTGCACTACCTGGTGTCAAGAAAGATCCTGGTTTATTTTCTTATTCCTTTTACATCATAATATCAATAGCTGTATCACGCTTTTGAAGCGTGATACAGCTATTTGTATCACGCTTCAGAATTCTGAAGCGTGATACAACTAAATGTATCGGGCTTCAGTTTTTGCAGAAGCCCGATACAGGTAAAACTTTATGTGAGATTTACATAAAGTTTTACCATTTTGATCTCGCAGGTCAATTTAGCTGTGAGATTGAACGCGGCGGGATGGTTCATGTGAGAGGAGAAACATCGACAGGTGGGAATACCGTAACGAGACATTCGCGGGTATTTGAAATGAAATTTCAACAGCAATCGCCACCTGGACAGTTTTCTCTGTCTTTTAGTCTACCTGGACCTGTGGACCCCAGGCTGTTTTATCCTAATTTTAGATCAGATGGCATATTTGAAGCTATTGTTATGAAATGCGAAGAGTAAAGTTTGTGTGGACTATTTTACCCTTTTCAATTAAGCACTTGTATTGTACAGGGATGAAGATGATGTTTGTTGTTTGAGATAGGCTGAAGGTTGTAGCTATTTCTAAACTGTTTTGAGGGGAACTTGTTTTTTACTTGATGGGCTTAAAGATATTAATCATATATAAGACACTTGTTTGAACAAATTTATATATTTACTATTTTGGTTTATGTCATTTAATATAATTTAATAATATTGTTTAATCAAGTCATTCATCTAGATCGTAACCAGTGTTTTTTGATTGGTTTAACTGCAAATCTGCTCAAATGGACTTATGGTGTCTATGTAGGATTTTTATTTAATTTAAACTAGGTGTGAAACCCATGAAATATACGGATTGATTAAAAAAAAAAAAGTTCAATATCAAAATATAAACTTTAAGTATTTTTAAATTAAAATTTTTAAACAAATACCAATGAAATGTTGAATAAGTAAGAAATTCAAACTATATTAATAAAAAAAACTATTGAGGTATATTAAATAATTTTTTAGAATCACAAATTTCAAAAACTTATTTAAATATAACATTACATATCCTATTTTCTAAGTTTACTGTTATTATTTAGAATAATATATTTAATTCATTTTTGTTTTTAATTATTAACAATGCAATATATAACTGAAAAGTCGACTTTTAATACCAATTTATCAATTGCTATACATAGGCATCGAACATGAACAGTACCTGATGAAAAAAAACAAGAAGTTTTTGTTAAAATATCACTGCCTCCAACCATATGGTCCATATGATTCAGTTTTTTGGATACAATTTTATTTCCGATTTATTGTGATTTGTTGATTTTTAAGGATGCAAACTTATCCTGGAATCCAATTTGCCTAGTAATTCGAATTAGAAAAGTAATAACGAATTTTTTAATATCTATAAGTTTTCAAAGTCAATTGGTACAAATTATGAGGAAAATAAAACAAAATTAATTAATAAAGGAAATTTTAAATATCTAATATTTATTATTTATTTTTATACACCTTTTAGGATTTAAAAGGACCTTTCACTCAATAAATTTTAATCAATAGAAAAAATAAAAATATTATTATTGTAAAAATAAAAGTGGCTTGCAAGGAAAATAGCAAATGACTTGTAGAGTAGTTTTGTGGTTACACACATAAAAAATGATGCAAAAGGAAATAGTTTTATCGGTTCCAAAGAAAAATAAATTAAACGGACATAATGCTTTTATTATTGAAGATATGCATTGGTTACAAAACTTGAAAAGACAAGTAAAAAACGTATATAGAATAAAAAGATATTAAATCTATGAATAAAAGTTAGATTTTTATATGTAAGGTAACTGTAATTGTAATTCCAAAAGATTGAAAACCGCCGGATTGAAGAGGTGTTAATTTGATTCATAATTAACGACTATTAATTTTATTATTTAAAAAAAAATTAAAAAACTCTCATAAAATTACAAGTGGAAAAAACTTATGTGTCATTTTTAGAGAGCAAGTGAAAGGAAAATACAAATTATAAGAAAATGATAAGTGGTAAATGCATTTTAATTTGTTAGGGTAGATATTATTGTAAATTATTATTATTTTTTATTTATAGTTTATAGTATATATATTTTATTTAAAAGTATTGTTATATATATAGACAAAATTGCAAAAATGGTCCCTGTGGTTTGTCAATTTATTTGGGTAAGATCCAAAAAAAAAAGTTTATTAGCAAAAAGATCATTATTTGATGGTTTTGTTGTGGTTTTGGTCCCTATCTCGTTAAGTTTAATATCATCGGTGTTAATTTTTGGTAAATGACGGATTTACCTTCGTGACCATTTCTTTTTCATTTTATTGAATTATTTTATATTAATTTTTTTAATTACCTTAATTAAACTTTTTTCTTATTGTATTATTTTTTATTGGATTATTATATATTAATAAATATTATTTTTGATAAGATTAAAGAATCTTTTAATCTATGAAGATCGATTAGATCTTGAACAAGTAAATAAACAATGACGGTATAAACACAGAAAAATAATAGAACAAGATTGAATCAAACGAGTCGAATGATTAAAACAAATCCTCAGAAGAGCTCGATTAAGAACATCAACTGTAGAGGATTGGAATGTTACAAGTATGATCAAATAAACCTTTAGTCGTCTGGAAAATATCGTATTCTCAGATCTCTAAAAACCTTAACCTAATATGCATGCAAGCATAAGCTTATATACAAAGCATAAAAGACTCACGGTTGGACAGGCCCATACCGTAATACAAAACAATACAGAAAGACGAGCCCAAAAGACGCAATCTTCTAAGCCCAACAATCTCCCCCTTTGCGTCAATTTGGAGCGAGATCTTTATTTATTACTTGGGCCAGCAGCCGAAACTGGTACCTTCTTCACGGTACTAAACAGACACTTGGTGATGGAAAGAATTGTCTGTCTAAACCGGATGTACCAGTTGATCATATCTTCAAAATACTTAACATCATCAGCTGAATTCTCTTTACACCATTTAACAATAAAAAGCACATGCTCCAAGCAAGTTGTGGTGTAAAGATGCTTATCAGCTAAAGCGAAGAGACATTTCTGTCCTTCCGCTCTAGTGAACATGACTGTGTTACGTCTCGGATCAATCTTGCCCAGCTGCATTTGATTTAGATCACTGGCCGATCCCACAGGAGCAATTTTAGGTTTCTTCTTGAAGACTGTGGCGACCTCCTGATCCATAAGGGCAACCTCCATGATATAGCAGATTAACATCCTTTTGACATGGTCTAGAATGGGACCATATTCAGCTTCATTGGTCAAAAGGATGTTATACAAGACGATCCAATCATGAGGATTTAGATTCGGTAGATCTGCTAGAGAGATGAGATGAACAGATTTTGCAGATCCCCGAATCAGTTTGAACCGAACGTTTATAAAACGTCCCTCAGTGTAAGGCTTTAGCACCCGAACATTGACAATCTTCTGAGCGCTCCATGTAAGGAATTGAGGACGAGCAGCCTTCAGGTAAAAGTCAATGAGCTCCCTGTCAAGCTCAGCGTTCGGGTGAGGGACATCAAAAATATTAGAGAAGACGTGAAAGATAAACGCCTTTCGAGTCAGTGGCATATCGAACTGCGAATTGACAGAATTACTGCAGTCGAACGATATGACCGGCTCGAGCCATAGGATGCTGGGAGTTTCAATGGCCTCTTTGATCAAGCGTTCCCTGGTCCAGGCAGGGAAGAGAGTCTTTCGGCTCTCAAGGAGATCGTGGGCTTCTTTTTGCTTACGTTCGGCTTCGGCAGCCTCACGTGCCTCACGACTGGCATCATCACCAACCTTGCGACTGTTCTTTCGTTTCAAAATGTCGGCAATGGTCTCCTTGTCGCCTTCTTCATCTTCGTCCTCAGCTATTTTTACCTTTGTTCTTCATACCTGAACTTAAAATTTGATGAGTTGAAGATGGTTCAGTTGTATGAGTAGCTTTTGAGGAAGGAGGTGGTTTTGAACTTGGCTTCTTATCTCCCCCTTGTTTCGGAATGGACACAAAACTTGGGAGGCCTTCGACCTTGTTTAGTAGATCAATGGCTGGAGAGAGCTTTTCAGCAAGGGATCGCCTCACCGAAAAGTTTAATATTGGATCATGTGCTTCCAGGATGTTTGAGATGACAGCGTGGACATCCGAAACACACGTCTTAACCACCTCCCGTTCGGAGCGAAGATCTTCCAGCTCTTGTTGAGATTGAGAGAGTTGAGTGGTCTTGACCTCAAGAGCCGTTGTTTTTAATGCCAGATCGTCCATTAAAGAACGCTCGGATGTCAGATCTTCTTGAAGCTTGACAAGACGAGCTTCAATGGAGGCTGTAAAAGCCGAGTTGTCGTCGCTTATGGTTTTACGTAGATTGGCGAACGATGGCAACTCCGATGTGACAAAGGAGACCAATTGTTGGACAATCGGTTCCAATGATGCCTTAGTGGCAGCTGCACTTTGTTGCATGGACTGCAGTAGAGCAGAGGCATTAGAAAATAGTTTATCGACTTTTTCGGTCGCTACCTCACATGCTCGGGTAGATGCCTGAATTGCAGCAGTTGCTGAGGCTGCTGAATCATGTTGGGCGCTTTTGAAGGCATCTACAATCTTCTGAAGTGCAGCTTCAGACAGGATTGATTGTTGGTTGGACGAGGAGGCGAGAAGGAGATCAATCTTCTCGTTGAGCTGTTTGAGATGTTTCTTAGTGACAGGTGCATCATCCTCCTCGTCACAGGGGAAGAAAAGGACAAGATCCCAGGGGAAGAAAAGTTATGGGTTAATACCATTTTCATAGGAATCACATAAAACTGGAGATTTTAATATGGTACTTTCATCAATTCATTAGTAAAAGCTTGAACAATATAATTGTTCACCGTCAATTCCTTAGGTGTTGATTTTTGGGTTTCACTTAGTTCGTAGTGTCACAAAACTAAGATCATAAACACAGATGTTGTGCAACCATAAACCTCAGTGGTAAGAGCTGAGAGTCTTAAGGGTTACCATGATGGAATGAGTGTAGTGAAGAAATAATAAGAGATGGTGTAAGATAACAAAAGTACCTCTACTGCAAGAAGAAGGACCAAGCAGGAAGTTCTTAACTCATGTGAGAAAAGAGTGAGGTAGCTCACGATTAGAATAAATGAAGTGGCCTTGTTGGGAAGACAAGGTTTGTGTATACCAGGTCATGAAGGCCTTTATTCAAAATCTTATGAGGCTTGAGACACATACAGCAACATGCTTCTAGGGACAAGTAGGAAGTTCATAAAGTGTATCCACATAAACAAATAAAAACATAATAATTTTTTTTTTTGGAATTTTTAAGGTAAACCGAACGCGAACCTACGGTGGGTTTCGGTTGAGAAAAGATTTGAAAAACCGAACCCGAACGTTCGGTTGGTTTCGGTTCTACAAAATTTTGAAAAACCGAACCCGAACCTTCGGTTGGTTTCGGTTCTGGAAAATTTTGATAAACCGAACCTGAACCGTTGGTTGGTTTCAGTTAAGAGTTTTTTTTTTTTTTTTTTTTTTTTTTTTTTTTTTTTTTGTGAATAAACTGGTAAAAACAGAATTGTACATCCAATACACAACATTGAGAAACTATCTTTGAAGAAATGAGTGGGTTAGATAGTTGAGACGAATCCTAACGTTCGGTTGTTATGTTTAAGTTTGGCACTG